GGGACCTCCAAAAGGACGGAAACACGTTTGATGTGGGCACCTGTGTATCCTCATCACCTGGTATGGTGCCTGGCACATGGTTCAATAAATAAATATATGAATCAAAATAATAACTGCTATTTATTGGACTTTATATTTCACATAGGTTGCTCATTTAATCTTCATGGCAACTGAACAGCAGAAGCATCACTCTGCCAATTTCATAGTTGGGGAAACTCAGACTCAAACAGGCTTTGTCCCATGCCCAAGTCCATACAGCCACTACCAGGTGTGGCTAAGATTTGAACCCAGGCTTGTACCCTGGATCTTATCACTCCTCTAACTCTCTCTGTGATGTCTCCTGTGATTGACACAGTAGAAGGAATCTGTGGCAAGCTCTATAGCTAGCTAGGGTTGGTGGGAAGAGGATGTAGAGCCAGTAGATGCCATTTCTGTCAGTAAAGAACCTCATATCTAGTCTTAAGACCAGCTAGTGGTCAGAATCCCAGCACTTTGGGAGAGGGAGGCGGGCGGATCATGAGGTCAAGAGATGGAAATCATCCTGGCCAACATGGTGAAACCCCGTTTCTACTAAAAAAATATATACAAAAATTAGCTGGGTGTGGTGGCACGCCTGTGGTCCCAGCTACTCAGGAGGCTGAGGCAAGAGAATCACTTGAACCCGGGAGGTGGAGGTGGCAGTGAGCCGAGATTGTGCCACTGCACTCCAGCTTGGCAAAAGAGTGAGACTCTGTCTCAAAAAAAAAAAAAAAAGACCAGCTAGTTCACAGTGGGGCTTTCTGTGAGACAAGTAGCTTCATGGTAAATAGCAACTAGGCAAGTTCCAAGATATTTTCTTCCTGAAAGCCAGCCCCATTTCTTCCCAGTGACTGGCTTTCTACCCCATGCCCTGGGTTCCAGAGCTCATGAGAACTGTGGATGATGATTAATACATAACTCAGAGACCATCGCAACCTCATGGGGCATTCGGGCCAGCTCCAATATCTGAGCCGTTGGGATAAGTGACATGCTATTGATTCATTCCAATGCGAGCCTTCTCTCTGAGAATATATTACTATGGGTGCCCAAGATCAAGGCAACACAAGTCTTTTCCCACTCAGGGCAGTGAAGTCAAGTTTCATTTATTTCCTGCCGTATGTTAAGTTGGAAGATGACACTAGCATGGCATCTTAAGTTCATTATAGAGCTCTAATCACCATAAAAAGCAACAAGTTTTCACTGAAGTTTTTTTCTACCAGGATGTCTGTCATTTTCATATTGATTTATCAGCTCTTTGTGTAAGGAAATCATCCATTGTTTGTCTTATATTTGCAAATATAAGTTCTTTTCTCAGTCTTTTGCCTTATGTTTTTACTAATTACATTTTTCATGTGTACAAGTAAAGTTTTGTGTGGTCAAATCTCTCAATCTTTGTAGTTTTTGAAAGTTCCCCCAGCCCAGAAGTATATAATAAATTATCGCCAATACTCTATTCTAGTGATTTTACCATGTAATTTTTTTAACATTTAACTCTTCAATTTTATTCAGAAGTTATTCAGTTATATGGTTTGTACTATGGATAAAATATTGTATTGCTTACAGTTTAGCCTAGATAAGTAGATATTACTCAGCCTATAAGGTACCCTCTAACAAAACCAAAAAAAAAAAAAAAAAAAAAAAAAAAAAAAAAAAAAAAAAAAAAAAAAAAAAAAAAAAAAAAAAACCAGCAACAGAATTATTCTATTCAGTTAGTCCACTTGTCTTCATGACAAGAGCATGTGGGTACAAATGAAAGACCCAAGAGCCCCAGATGGTGAATCTAGCCATGTTAAGTGAGTCAAGCCAATAGCCCCACCTTTCTTTAAAGGAGGATTTTATTATCTCATTCATTTTGCCCCATGAAAAGCGAAAGCAAGGGCCATAGCCATTTTCCCTTAAGAGCTTAGAAGAGATCTTAGAAACTCATTGTTTAGGACTGGGCATGGTGGCTCACGCCTGTAATCCCAGCACTTTGGGAGGCTAAGGTGGGCAGATCACTAGGTCAGGAGTTCGAGACCAGCCTGACCAACATGGAGAGAGCCCCCATCTCTACTAAAAATACAAAAATTAGCTGGGCGTGGTGGCACATGCCTATAATCCTAGCTACTCTAGAGGCTGAGGCAGAAGAATAGCTTAAACCTGGGAGGCGGAGGTTGCAGTGAGCTGAGATCGTGCCACTGCACTCCAGCCAGGGCGACAAGAGCAAAACTCCGTCTCGGGGGAGAAAAAAAGAAAAGAAAAGAAATGCAGAGTTTGGCTGAGACCCAGTCCTGCCCAGACAGACTCTAGCAGTGCCAGTGAGTTTGGGCCTCTTGTAGAACCTCCTGGAGAAACGGCCAAATCCAAGTCCAGGAGTTACTCCTTAAACTACAGAATAGAAATAAAACACATGTGCAGCACTGAAGACTGTCTGGAAGACAGACAACAAATTGAACAGATCAGCATTCCAGCCTAGGTTAATTGTCCTGAGCTTCGGGGATCAGGTAAAGGAGGGACTAAGGCAAAACCTTGAGATTTATAAATATTACCTTGCTGGAACACATACTGCTTAATGGGCCAGGCCTGTTTCATCAGATTATTGACATAGAATGTCTAAGAGAAGGCACCAGGGATAAATCAGGGCTCAGTGGCAAAATGTATGGCAAGAAGCAAATGAGAAAAATATGCAAGCTGAATGTAAGCCCATTTTCCCTAATTGAAATTCAGGTTTTCCCTGGATGTGTTCTGTAATTGCTCACTTCATTTGTGTCAGCCAAAGTTTTCTGGGTTGTTCCAAGGTAAGAAAGGGAAGATGAATTTGGGTAAAACCTCTCTCTATGGCAAGTATGATCCATCCCTGCGGTGGTCCATGACAAGTGTATAATCCTAGATCCGCCCTTGTCTTCCTAGCCTCCCCTTCAGACACTGTGTCCTCCAGTTTTCACCTGGTCCTGCCAGGAAGAGAGCAACTGTCAGAGAGATGGCCTACTGTCTCCTTCCAGTTTGGAATTTAGGGCTCATCTGGTGGTTTTAGAATCTCTCTGTCACTGTTCTCTTTCACTAGTGTGATAACTGAAAGATTGCTTCATAATGGGACGCAATACCACAGTGAATCATGACACAGGGTGGATGACATCTTTTTCACACAGAATGCTTCATCTCGCATGAGGAAACACTTCTCCCCTTTCCCAGAATAGCACCAGGAGCTGGAGCTCTACAATAATGGCTTAATACCCTATTGTTGCTTCTAAACCCCCAACTAAATTCTTTCTCACCAAGGCCAAAATGAATTAAATGTTTCAAACTCACAGTTTAAAAAGAAACCAAAAACAAACACTGACAATACAATCCCACTCCAAATATCAGTTTTTCAGACTCTGAAGAGTGTGCATAGAGAATGAGCCAAACAGCTGGCCAGACACACACACATGTACACACATACACACATACACCCCCACGCAATCGCACTTGGGAGAGCTGTAAATTCATGCGAGTCAAGAGTTGGATTTTTAGCCCAAGTGACAAGTACCAGTATTTTTGTACATCTTGTCAAATAAATACCAATCCTTGAGAAATGCTGATATTTTTAAAGATCTAGCTAATCCTGGCCATTTGTGGGTGAGTGTTGAAAACCTGAAATGTTAAAGAGGAAAAAAAAGTGCTTTTTCATAATGGTACCAAAAATCTGGATGAAAACTAAAAGAACTACACTTAACCATTCAGATGTTACCAGATACACTTGCATGGTCTAAACCTCCCAACCAAAATCCAGTTTTCTTATTGGATTTTAGTCATCAGCCTGATACAGGGTCATGGCCATGAAGGATGGACTACGAAATGCACATGGGTCTTATTGGTAATACCACTGCACTTCAGTTACTTCGTAGTCTCCAAAGGGCCAAAGAGCAGTGCCCTCAAAGCCAAATCTAACCTGAACTGCCCTGAAGGCATGTGCAGCATCTAACCTAAGAGAGCCATAAGGTGAGGTTTGGGCAGTCACCTGGTGATTTTGAACCATGTGGACACACTCTCATTCTCGATAATTCAGAATTCAAAATCCCCACTCTCATTCTCGAAAATTCAGCCCCAGTTTAGAAAACTTAATACAAGTGGCTAGCCTCAGCTCTGTAACATGGAGGTCATATGACAGCCCACCACAGAGCTGGTCATGAGGCTTAAATGAGCTGCTCTGTGTCAAGTGCCCAGAAGCATCAGGCTCCAGGGATGCCGGCCTCCTGTGTAGACACTGCCCACTTCCCAGGTATCTGCCATCACTCCCCTTCACGTGGACTGTGGAGTCTGAGAAGAAATAGTTAGGACTTATTGGAAGGAAGAGTGTACTTTCTGGGGCCCATAATGTACAAGAACAAATATTTGCCCAGGTGTTTAATTTTAAATGTTTAAGTTAATTACAGTAAGAGAAAAGTGATACCACAGCTAGGAATCCCGATAAATGGATTGAATGAAAAATAAAGAGTCTGCCATTTTTAATATTCTTTCAAAGTCTTCTTAGAAATCTGAATACTGCATTGTCTCAGAATGCAGGCACCACCAACCAGCCCAGCCCCACTCCAGGGTAACAACTGGGCACTCCAGGGTAAAGCCTGACCAATGGCAACTTTAATTTAAAAGTTCAAGCTGGCCAGATATGGTGACTTACATTTCTCATCCCAGCACTTTGAGAGGCTGAGGTGGGAAGATACCTTGAGCCCAGGAGTTCAACACCAGCCTGGGCAACATAATGGGATCCCATCTCTACAGAAACTAAAACAATTTGCCAGGTACGGTGTTGCACAGCTGTAGTCCCAGCTACTCAGGAGGCTGAGGCAGGAGAATTGCTTGAGTCCAGTAGGTCAAGGCTGCAGTGAGCCATGATTGAGCCACTGCACTTCAGCCTGGGCGGCAGAGTGAGATCCTGTCTCAAAATAAATGAATAAATAAATACATAAATAAAAGTTCAAGCTGGTGCAAACTTCGTGAAAGGACTGTCTGTTTCTTTGTAGAGTTGAAGAAAGTTTTAAAACTTTATTTTGGTCCATATTCGGCTTATCTGAAGTAATCTCGGTGGTGCTGAAATACGACCACAAATTCATTGAGAACATCGGCTACGTTCTCTACGGCGTTTATAACGTCACCATGGTGGTAGTGCTGCTCAACATGCTCATAGCCATGATCAACAACTCCTATCAGGAAATCGAGGTAAGGCCAGGGCGCTGAAAATGCTCGCTCTCCCTCATCCAATTTACATTGCTGTTTTCTACAATGACGTGAATGACGTTGGAAGCCTATGTGCTGTTAAATGTGTAGCCAGAATGACAAACAACAGAAATTCTTCCTGGATTGCTTCTAGAAATACTTCTGGTCAGTCTGCCCCATGGTATTGCTGGTACCACCATGAGGCCCAGTGAGGGCAGAAAGAACTGAGGTCATGAGTCTTTTCTCAGGACATCGTCACTGTCTTTTGCCTCTCACGTGCTATTTATTAAGTACCTACTATATGCCAAACCCTCACTAGGCACTGGTGATACCAAGATAACTAAGACACAGTTTCTGCCCTAGAGAAACTCATAATCCAGTGAGAAAATCAAACAGGGCAATCAACAAATTCCAGTGCCCTGGGGCCAGTGCAGCCAGGTTTCGGGCAGCAGGGGGGTGATGTGGGGACAGAGACAGAGACTGACTATGAAGGAAGTTTCCAGAGGTGATGCTGGAAGGCCATTTAAAATGAGAACAATTTTGCCTGACAGATAAGGGAGTTGAGAGAATGTATCGGAGGGCAATTTATCAAAATCTAAAAGGCATGACCCATAAGCTATTGATTGCAGCCTTGTTTAGAACAGCGAGAAATTAAGTTGGAATCTAATTAAATAGACTATGATGCATCTGAAAAGTGGGATGCTGTGCAATTCTATTTTAAGAAGGATAAAGATGTTCTCTATATGCTGATGGGGAAAGACCTCAAGTTACAATGGTAGGAGAAAAAACTCAATTTGCAGAACAATGTATATAGTGGGCTCTCTCTGAAAGGGAATGAGATTCATTTGTGATTGTATAAGCATATGAAAAGAACAAACCTCTGAAAAGGTCCACAAGAAAGACACCACAGGGTGCCTGTTGAGAGGGGGTTGGGGGCATGGTGGGTGGAATTCCTTTCTCTTTATACTTTTTATTTAGCCTTTATAAATCATATTGTTTTACCTATTGTAAGATTAAATAAATAAGCTAAAGTTAAAAAGCACTGACCTATTGAATCCACAATTCCAATTCTGGGAATAGATCCGTGCATAAATATGATTTTACGTAGATGTTCTTTAAAGGAAAGACCTGGAAATAGTCCATTGTTATGAGAATGTTCAAATAAACTGTGATATAGTTACACTTTCAAATAAGGTGTAGGATACTGTACATAGACCATGAGGAAGACCGTTTTGTACTGACATGGAAAAAAATCCCTAACACATTATTAAGTGAAAAAACGCAAGTTGTAGAAAAATACCTATAGGGGAATCTCACCTACATAACAATACAAATGCAAACGTATAGAAAGGAACTCCAGGAGCAGGAACCCGCATCCAGGAACAGAGCCCTTTGCTCCTCCCTCAGAATGAATGGAGACCAGAAATCAGATGTTTATGTCCAAGAAAAGCAGCATTTCGTTCAGCACTTCTCCCAGATCGTTAGGGTGCTGACTGAGGATGAGATGGGGCACCCAGAGACAGGAGATGCTACTGCCCGGCTCGAGGAGGTCCTGGAGTACAACGTCATTGGAGGCAAGTATCACCGGGGTTTGACGGTGCTGGTAGCATTCCGGGAGCTGGCGGAGCCAAGGAAACAGGATGCTGACAGTCTCCAGCGGGCCCTGACTGTGGGCTGGTGTGTGGAACTGCTGCAAGCTTTCTTGCTGGTAGCAGATGACATCATGGATTCATCCCTCACCCGCCGGGGACAGCTCTGCTGGTATCAGAAGCCAGGCGTGGGTTTGGATGCCATCAATGATGCTGTCCTTCTGGAAGCATGTATCTATCGCCTGCTGAAGCTCTACTGCCGGGAGCAGCCCTATTACCTGAACCTGATTGAGCTCTTCCTGCAGAGTTCCTATCAGACTCAGATTGGGCAGACCCTGGACCTCATCACAGCCCCCCAGGGCAATGTGGATCTTGGCAGATTCACTGAAAAGAGGTACAAATCTATTGTCAAGTACAAGACGGCCTTCTACTCCTTCTACCTTCCTGTAGCTGCAGCCATGTACATGGCAGGAATTGATGGCGAGAAGGAGCATGCCAATGCCAAGAAGATCCTGTTGGAGATGGGAGAGTTCTTTCAGATTCAGGATGATTACCTTGACCTCTTTGGGGACCCCAGTGTGACTGGCAAAGTTGGCACTGACATCCAGGACAACAAATGCAGCTGGCTGGTGGTCCAGTGTCTGCAACAGTCAACTCTGGAACAGCGCCGGATCCTGAAAGAAAATTACGGGCAGAAGGAGGCTGAGAAGGTGGCCCGAGTAAAGGCATTATATGAGGAGCTGGATCTGCCAGCCGTGTTCTCGCAGTATGAGGAAGACAGTTACAGCCACATTATGGGTCTCATTGAACAGTACGCAGCGCCCCTGCCCCCAGCTATCTTTCTGGGGCTTGCGCGCAAAATCTACAAGCGGAAAAAGTGACCTAGAGACTGCAAGAGCGGATAGGAGGCTCTCAATAAATAAATTATTGTGTAAAAAAAAAAAAGCGTAATCCATGCAATAAATTCTACACTGTGAATTTCAAATGACCAAAGATTAAATACAAGAAAAGTCAAATGGTAAAAATATTAGAAGGAACATAGGTTTATAAACTTGGGGGAGGGGAGCCTTTCTAAATAAGAACTTAAATTCAGAAACCCTAAATGAAACATTGATACATCTAATTGCATCTGTTTAAATTTCTAAATGGCAGAATATGCTATAAGCAAAGTCACAAGACTACCTACTGAAAAAAAATTTTCAATTTTTATCACCAATAAAAAGTTAATCTCTCCCACATATAATTAGATTCTATAAATAAATAGACCACAAACCCAATAGAAAATTGGACAAATAATTGGTGGCTCACAAAAAAAGGAAATACAGATGACTCTTAAACATGTGCTTAGTCTCTGTCATATTAAGAAAAATTTCCTAAGAAATTTCTGCTTTACTCAAGGTCACACAGAATTTTCCTGTGTTTCCTTCCTGGAGTTTCAGTTTTTACATTTATGTCTATGATTTATTTTAAATTAATTTTTGTGTATAGTGTGAGGTAAGGGTTGATATTAATATTTTCTAGCACCCTTAATTGAAATGCTATTCTTTCCCATGAATTGCTTAGCATATCTTGAAAATTAATTGACCATATTCATGTGAGTCTATTTCTGTGTTCTTTTCATTTAAGTCTGTCCTTTCACCAGTACCATACTGTCTTAATTACTGTAACTTTATACTGAGTCTTGGTCAGGTAAGGAAAATCTCCCAGTTTTGTTCTTCTTTAAAATTGCTGTGATAGTTTGGTCATGTGGCATAGGGGAGTTGAAAAAAAAATTTAGAATCTGGCTATTTCTGCTTTAAAAAGACTGCTAGAAATTGGATTGAATGAATATATCAATTTGGGAATAATTAGCATTTTAATATTGAGTTTTCTAGTTTATGAGCATAATGTATCTTTTCATTTTTGTCTTTTATTTTTAATTTTTTTAATGGAGTCTGGCTCTGATGTCCAGGCTGGAGTGCAGTGGTGCAATCTTGGCTCACTACAACGTTCACCTGCTGGGTTCAAGCGATTCTCCTGCCTCAGCCTCCTGAGTAGCTGGAATTACAGGTGTCTGCCACTATGCCTGGCTACTTCTTTGTATTTTTAGTACAGATGTGGTTTCAACATGGTAGCCAGGCTGATCTTGAACCCTTGGCCTTGCTTCCTTGCTTTCCCTTTTTAGTGTTTGTTTTGTTTTTGCCTTGTCATCTCATTCCTTTGCTCAGAGCAAAATAATTAAGGCTAAATGTTACCATTTTCCTTACTTTGTCCTGAAATTTTATTTATCTCCAATCTTTTCAACACCATTTCTCCTTCCTTTTCTTCCAACAAGTACCTGTTTACCTTAGGAAAGTGGGGTTCCTCTCTATTTTTCTTCCATTTGAAAAGCATCAAAATGTGGCATCATGCATAATGGAAAGATATGGACTTTGCAGTTAGACCTTAAGTTAAATCTCTGCTTTGTCAGCTGATTCGTTATCGAGTTAGCTGAAGAAGACCAGGTATTTGGGCAAGTTACTCTCTGAATTTCAGGTTTTTAAAATTTATAAAAAGAAGATTATAATCCAACTTTATAAAATTATTCAAATGTCTAAATGAGATGCTTGACACAAAATAGTTGCTCAATAAATGTTAATTCCCAGCCTGAGTTACAGCTGGTGAACATGAGCTTAGCATTAGGTTTATACTTCATAAAAGTTATTAAATGAATTTAAGCATTGTGGTATTAACACTTATCTTTTATACAGCACTTCACATTTTCTACACTTTTGCATAGATTATCTCAATATAATCAGCCACTGGCATTGGTTCATAGTGCTTAAAGGATTCCTTTAGTGTTTTTACAACTGTCTACTTCCTCATCTTCAGATCTGCTTTTTTCACATTTATTAATTTGAGTTTGTTCAGTAATAGAAGTCATATCATTTTCTATTTTTCAGCATATAATTTTTCAAAGCATATTATAGCTATATGTTAGCCTTAGCTAACTTTTAGTGGGTCTAGTCATTATTTATAAATTAATGATGGGGAGATGAGTTCAATTTCCAAATAAATATTACTTTTTAAAGATACCTTCATTATATAAACTAGAAACTAATTTTTCAAGCTTACTTAAATTCCCATTTGGTGACTCTATGTTAAATTTTCTTTTATGCATATCGAGCATTTTTGCTACCATTGTTATTTCGCTAAAATCTCCATATTGTTCATATATATTGTGAAAAAGGGTTTATTTTGACTTATTTACTATCTCCTTTGTTTTAAATCTTTTTACTATGTGGTTATTTATATACAAACAGTGATACTAAATTTCTACTGTCTACTAGAAATTGTTTCTTTATGCATCTCTGTCTTATCCTTTATTGTCCAAAATTTTATGAGGCATTTCTAAGGGATAAAGGATTTCCCATCTTTATCTATTCACCATGTGAG